TATCACATTTTACTGTTTTTCACAATTCATCATTAATATTCACTGAGCTTTACATTAGCCTTTTCTTATTTTCTTCTCCTCATCTAATGCCATCATTTAATTAAATATTCTTTCAGTGTGTTCTTCTGATACGGGACCCAAGTGCTCTAACATGTGCTAATATATGTCTTTCAATATATCAAAATACATCAAAAGCCCCATTGGGACTGGCATTAATTAATACTTCATCCATTCTGTTAAGTTCTTGTTTTATTTGTCATGGACATGTCTCTTTTTTCTCTTTCTACATGAAATAAATAGAAAGAGTGCTAATAAAAATCTAAATTGCAGTAAACTCAGTTCTTCTAATTCCAGCAAAGAGAGAGACAATTTAAACAATTCCATGTTTGTTTCTACGATAAAGAAAAAGTTCTTAGAGAATCGAAAACACTAATTATTCTGCATTTCTCAGACTCCCAAGACCTCAGGCATTTAAAAAAAGAGAATCAACAGTAATCCAAGGTTGAACTGAAAATCTGTCAAAATAAAGGAAGTGGGAATTATATTGGGGTTTTTTCTGTATTTTTTTTACACATTGCATGCTTTCACTATTTTCAAGTTGGTTTTTTTTTTTTGTGTTTACAGAAAAAGAGAGTAACAGATAATGTGTTTCAGATTCAAATCTTTTATACTGCACCTCCTCCTAGCACTATTGGAACTAAAATTGCAAGACTGATAAGAAAAACTGCTGGAATATGCTTTAGAGTAGGTTTAAAAGGCATATTTCTTCCAGACGTATCTGAATGAAAGCACTCCATTTGGAATGGATTCCTTTAAGTTTTTACATTAATGTTAGTGTATTTGAGATCTGTTGCAGCCAAAAGAAATGCTTCCTTTCTAATTCTTTTATAACAGTATTGTACAGGATCAGAGGAGTTGTCATCGCTAGAACTAACTGACTAGTTTCATAATGGAAGAAGCTATTATATCTCCAAGGTCCAATACAAAGTAGTTGCCAGTGTTTCATAGTATAAAACACCATGCAGGAACCTTAAAACCTGCAGTACTTGGTACACAGTCTGTATCAAGCAGATATATGGGTTCTCTCTCATTCTTTCTAATCTTGTGAGAATACATCAAGGAACAAAGCCTCAGGTAATAAAACTGTCCTATTAAGCTTAAATAGTAAATGGAAGATCCTGTGATTACAGTGCAATATTTGGAGCTGTAGACATTGTCTGTTTGTGACTGTGCCAAAAAGCCGCCAACTTTAGTGTTTCCAGGGTAATCAAGAGGTTGGTTATAAATATAAGGCAAGGATATAGATAATATGTAAATGAGGCTGTAAAGATGTTCCGTGAAAATTATCAAGGAAAGCCACAATTTGAGAAGGAAATTGCAGTATAAGTGTTGTGCCTTGTGTGAGACAATGGCAGTGGGGATTTCTGTGTTTTGCCTTACTCCCAACATATTACAGCTCATGGCTTTGGGTGCTACCACTGCCAATATCTGGTCCACTGAACTCAGGCATTTCTGTGGAACGAACCATTTCTAGTTTTGTGGTAAAGCTCTCAAACAGCAGTTCTTGCAGCCCTCCTTCATCATGTCCTCTGGTCTCTCCTGTATCTGAGGATGAGGTCAGTGTCCCCTGTGTGGAATGATCCTTTTTTTTCATGCTCTTCTGTGCTATCAGTCAAAACAGAAGCAAAAAGAAAAAAAGGAGAAGAGTTAAGAAAAACATGGGTTAATGCTGTGAAGTCTGTGGGTGCAAACAGGATTTTGTTAAAAATGAAAAGAGGTTGGGTGGAGGTAGCTAAAAAGAAATCTGAAATAATTGTTCTGTAGAATATGGCCTTTCCACATAGGCAGAAATCTTTCTCTTCACTTCTGTCAGAAGACAGTCAAATAGAGAATCTTGTCTCTTAATTAGAAAGAAAAATACTCATCAAACACATCTCATCACTGGAAAGCTAATGATCCACAGCTGCTAGTCTGAAAGGGCAGGCTTTTTTTCTGAACAGTAGGAAATGTTAATCATTTTGGATGAGATTTCTTTTTAAAATATACTGTAGTTTGCAAAAGAATAGGATATTCAATATCCTAACTTAAATTATTTTTTGAAGTGTTGTACACTAGGGATAGTGTCATGTGTCTCTCTGAATGATCATTTAATGCATGTGTCTCTTCACTAAGAGTATAAACTCGTGTGATGTTGTAAATGGCCAGTTCACGCCTGTGAGTCTGAAAACTTTGATCTCACAGGAGAGATGAAAAAAGCCTTTCCTTATATTCTTCTGTATATGAAATTGCATTTGTATTGAACTGTAACCTTTGAGACTTACACTCATCACATAAATTACTTAGCTTGTTTCGGTAGTGATGAGCATCCTTTTTTTACACAGCCAGCCATTATTTTCTTGGAAGATACCGTGCCAGACACAGTCCACTAGATGCTTTATAGACATGGGCAACTCCAAGAAGTGTTCTTTTATACTTATTCATTAGCTTTTCTGGTTTGGTTTGCATTTGGGACTTTTTGGCCTATGCTTGCTTAATGGAATGTTGGTTTACTTTTCCACCTTTCATGACGCTTTGTACATATCAATTCCTTCTTCTCTTTCACCTCCACTACCTTTTGACTGAGTCCTGGAGTTCTCTTGCTGTTCTGCAACAAATTTTGGGTTTGTTCATGTGTACTTAGAAGTTTTGTCTGATACTGGAAAATCTGCGTGTTTTCTCTCATACGCATTTCATGAGTGCATTTCTTGTCTGGGAAAAATAATGAGGCCATTTAGGTCAGAGTGCCATAACTGTGCTGGTTGCATGCAGCATACATCTCATTTGTGTTGCAATGTTTGTGTAGTGCCTGGCTGAGACAGGTGCCTGAAATGAGGAGCTGGTCAAAATTCAGCCAGACTAGATGGAAATCAAGGTGGTAGGTCAGCAAAGTCATCTTCAGGAGATGACAGGTGTAATATCCACACTTTTGAATGGCATGTCCGTACAATTTGCAAAAAGGTAATATCTTAATAAGTTTTACTGGCCTTCCGAGTCCAGTATTGTAAAGAATTAATGCCCTTACATTAAAGGGCAAAGAGAAATTGACAAATTTCAAATGAAACTGCCAAAGACAAATTGTAGGTCATTTGGCCTTTAGGAACTTCCAGTGAAAAGTGTTTGCATGAGAATTCATTGATATTCTGGAGTACAAAGTACATGATGACCATAATCCTCAGAATCCAGTCAGGTCTATGTCTCCTGAAACTGTGTGTAGATTGCTGGCTTTTTTTCTCTGGGGCCAGGGAGTGTTTGAATAGTACTTGATTTTTTTTAACCACTTTTTAACCAAAGTTCAGCTGAGGCCCTAAGAAAGACTTTATGTGTTGCCTTTTCTCAACAGGTAATCTCTAATACTTAGTTTTTTGATAATTGGTGCTGTTTGCTGGCTTCCAGAGTACTCTTGAGTATGCATCCATTGACTCAGGGCATTTCTGGGGTTAAAGGTTATTCTGATGTTATGTTAGCATAACACCTTCAATCCTTTTAGAAGGTTTTACGAATAAAAATATTCAAAAGTTTAACTATTTGGATGAAAAGACTTATCAAGATTTCTGGATGTTTATCCAGCTGTGGTGCATAGTGTGATTTGTTTTCACTTTTTTTGATGTTTTTGTGTTTCACTGCTTTGTTTGTGGAAGAAAACAAACCCAGGTTGTGGCTACAGCAGGCTTAAATAAAAGGGGGGTTCATTGATAGGGAAAATTGGAGGTAAAAATGGTTTTAGTTTGATCCCATCTAAGTCAAATTATTTTTAGCTCTTTCCTGTAAACCATTAATTTTGTAGCAGCATTGGTAGGGAACAATGTCTGGACAGTGTTGTATGGAGCTGGCAGTGGGGGTGGTTTTCTCTGGTGGTGTGGTCACCAAGCTGATCCCATCCTGAAGAGCAGATGCAGTTACGTAGGCACACATCTCTAGGAGATGTAACCCAACCAGACTTCTGGCAGCCCCTGGTCACAGAGCAGTTGAGCTGTTTTGAGCTACCACTGCAATAAATCAAAGTTTTCAAATTGGTAGACTTTGGTGGCTTCTCAGCATTCTTTTTAAACCCATTTTTAATGAGTCTAAGGTCACTATACTATCATTAAAATAATCATATTATTTTAGCTTTTACTGTGATTTTTATTAGTTTTCCATGCAAAAGACTTCTGATTGCTACCTCTGCTTGTTTGTATGACATTAATACAAAATGACAATGTTCTTTTTTCTAAATAGCAAATTAATCTTTAATCAACTCTTGTGCCACCTTTCCACTGCTACAGGGTTGTTTCAAAGCTAAAACCAGATTCAGTAACATGTTGAGGTCTTCTTTAAATTAATCATGTCCCTGTGACCTACAAGAAAAATGAGAGGCACTTTTTATAAGGGTTAATAGCTTTAAACTGAAAGATGTAGATATTGAGAAGAAATTCCTTATTGTTGAGGGTGGTGGCACTGGAACAGGTTGCCCAGGGAAATTGTGAATGCCTGGAAATATTCAAGGCCAGGTTGGATGAGGCTCTGAGGAGTCTGGTCTAGTGAACGATGTCCCTGCATGTGTGGAGGGAGGTGGATCACCTTAAAGGTGGCCTCTAAAGTCTCTTCCAACCCAGGCCATTCTATGATTCATGAAAGTATCTAATCTTTCTTAAAATGTAATCTTATTTTTATGCTCTTCTGCATTATTCACAAAAGCATTGTTTTATAAGAGAACAGTTAATATTCCTCTTAGATGATAGTGCATCAATTTTTCTTTTCCAAGAATTAAGGTAGGGAATTGGGAAGTGGGGTATGGATTGGGAAGTGTAGCAGTTGTATCATGCAGGTAAGTATGAGTCAGCAAAGTGGTTGAACAACGCTCCTGTCTAAGGAGAGGTGGATTTCATTAGAATTGTTTTATTAGTCTTAACTCTGCACAAGAGTTTAATGTAATGCTGAGTTTAATGTAATTTCAGTCCCTTTTTTCCTACTCTGTCTTCTAGCTTTTTCTTTTTGTGGTCTGGAACTTTGAGCTCTACATGATACCACTGGCTTTGTTGTTGCTGCTGGCATGGAACTACTTCTTGATCGTATCAGGAAAAGATAACAGGCAACATGATACAGTAAGTCTTCTCTACTTCAAGGGCATGCATGTCCTTTTCTTTTTTTAACTAGGTAAAATTTTTAAACTGGGTTTAAATACTATATCTTTTTCAAAATGTCTCCCTTCACAATGTTCGAGGGACAATTTTCCCACCTGCAATTTAATTTTATTCTGTCTGTCCAATAAGTGTGTCTGGTTTTGTTGAAATGTCATGCAAAAATACAATAGAACATGCACTATCTAGAGAATCTGTTTTGTGTGGGAGCAGAGAGGCTTATTATTGAGGAAAAGGCAAATTCTTTGATAATTATTTTATATGGCTATGTCCTTATGTTACATTTTTTTATTTCACATGTTGAAGTTAAAGATTAAAATTATCTCAGTTTGTTAACAGTTTCAGAATGTATCACATTTTACTGTATTTCACAATTCATCATTAATCCATAAAGCTTATTAGCTTTTTCTTATTTTCTTCTCATTTAATGCCATCATTCAATTAAACACATGTAGTTAGGATATAATGTAGCAAACATTTGCTAATAACTGGTATTCATTAATAATATTTAAATGGTTTTGATTTTCAGAAGTACATATTAAAAGTTGGAATTTTTATTATATGCTGTACAAATTTCCTAGGAAGATAAAGGATTTTGCATAAGGTACCGCTGAGCCTTGAAATTTTATATTTGTACTAGTTTTTGTATCCCAAAAGCAGCACGTTGTCTACTACTTTATGATCTGAATGGATAACTGAACAGGGAGAGGAAAAAGCCAAAACAGATTAGATAATTGATCTCTGAGGACAGCAGTTAATGGAGGTCGATAACAAGTGGACTACGAAGGTGCAAGGTCCTGTTAACATCTCTTCCAGTGATGTACAAGAGATGATAATGCACCCCCATCAAGTTACATCAGGTGTGTGGGACCATTTGACACTCTGGATCTGCCACTCAAAGAGATCTGAGCTGGATAAATGAACTGATAGGAAAGGCATGACATTCAGAAGGAAGAATCCTGATCTTGGGGAGAAATAACTTGTTGCAGTGATACAGAGTAGAAATTGGTTGTCTGAAATCACTTTCTGAACTGGGCCTAGGGGTCTTAGAAGGCAGTGACATAATCAGAAGCACAGGTAGTGGACTGAGGGAGGTGGTTATCTCCACTCCTCAGCATTTGCTAGAACTCATCTAGAATAGTGTCCAGTTTGGGACATGCCAGTTCTAGAAAGTCATTGATTGACTTCAGCAAGGTCAGTGAAGGGCTACCAACTTGATCAGGGGCTTAAGCCCTCATCAGCTAGCCCTTGAAGAGAAGCTGAAGGAAGTGGACTTGTAAGATCCTGGAGAATAGAAGGCTTCTAGTGACTGGAATATCCTTTTCTTACTACTAATATGTACTATTATTGTTAACCTAGGAGGTTAACAAGAAGATGGATCAAGAAGACTGCACAAGTGATCTGTGGTGGAAGAGGCAACAAGCTTCATTTGAAACAAAAGAGGTTCAGACTGAAAAAACTTTGCTAGGAGAATTGTAAAGCAATAGAAGAGGTTGCTCAGGAAACTGCAGTTGCTATAGGAAGTTTCTAGGACCTAACTGAGTAAAGCTCTGAGGAACCTGATCTTACCTCATGGTTGACCCCACTTTGAGCAGGAGTTTCCTCCATTCCTTCCAGCCTGAGTGATTGCCTAATGTCTAGCAACTGCTATTAGTAGAGCACATACAGTCCTGATCCCAACACTCTTGTTACCTGTCTACATAAGACTTATGCTTCCAAGGATGATCTAAAAATAAGGGTGGGAATGATAAAGGTATTCCCTAATCCCAAATGTGATTACACTTATGAAAAAAGCCTAAGATCGAGATTTAAAAGATACAATACTTAAAACACAGACCATTGTCTCCTGATGGCTGAAATTCTTAAAGCTTCTCAACCTGAAGATTTTATGGGTACCTGAAATCCCTGGTGAAAGGAGAAATATCACTTGTGAGCTGCAATACATTTAATTTCTCTCTGAAATACCACCTGCCTGGGAAGATTACCTAGCTATGCAACTTTTTAACAAAATTAATGAAGCTACTGATGGACCCTCAGTTAAGAATACCAAATGCTGCTCCTAAAACTCTCTTGCTGAGAGTGCTTCAGACCAAGCTAATACAGCCTATATCAAACAACCATGTTGATCCCAAATATTTGGTATCTGTTGAATTAATGACCTTGTTTTTAAAGATTTAAGTTTGCTTATCATCATGTTGAGGATCTACCTTGAGTGAAGTCATTTGCAGATTTATTGTAAGCCTTTCTAATGAACTTATGAGTCTTCAGTAATATCATGAGTCCTTAGCTCAGGTCATTAGCATAGTATCATTAGAATAGGAGTCATTTAACTACTTACATTTTCCTATGCAAAGTGTGAATTTTATCTAATTAATTAAGCAGAGTTTCCTAGTGGCTAGAGGATGCTTCAGCATTCATGTGATCTGGTTTCTCTTCCCAAGTCTTCAGAGATTCTTCGTGTGTCTCAGTGAAATCATTGACTACTTAGCTTAGAAATATTATCTAACTTTAGGTGTTTTAAATGTTTAGATGTGTTTAGATGTTTAGATGATCATCTAAGTTTAGAAGTTACTATGAAATCCTAAGGCTAATTATAAGACACAAAGATGTTTTTGGTATAAAAAAATGTAAATAAATGTGTTTTGTATAAAGGTACTTTATTACCTGATTAACATTAGGCAAGCATAGTTAAAAATTGTATGATGAGCTGTACAAGTACAAAATGATTTGTACTTGTTTAATGTCTAAGGAACATACTTCAATTTGGGACCATGTGAAGCACTCAGAAGAGCTGGTTTCCATTGTAATATCTCAATGAAAAACAATTGTCAGTTGTCTTACCAGTCCAGATGCTAGGGACCACACTTCTTCTGCAGGTCAATGATTAGTGATCACTGAGCTTCTGTCTGGATATGGCAGATAGACCAGCCTTAACTCATCCTTTTGTGACCATCTCTATAGACAAGATACTATTTGCTTTTTCCTTTTGGGCATTAGGGTTTTTTTAAGTAGTTTGGTTCTTATTTCCTCATGGAGAAATTCACCTGCCAAACAAGGACCTGGATACCTGTATTATAACGTAAACCTGTGCTTCTTGTTTGAATGCAAAAATAAAGTAACATTATTTTGCCATTTTTCCAACTCCTAGTGAATAATACATGCAAGTCCTTTCTTGAATTCAAGGTGCAATATGGCTGGGGCAAGGGGAAGGCACAAGAGTATTTCTTAGGAGAAGATAAGTCAACTGGAATGCCCAACAGAGAGGTGAAGCAGCATACTATGTCTCCATGGATTCAGCTGGGCTCCTCGTAGGATTGATGATCATTGTGATTTTAGTCCAACACTGATGCAAATTTCCAAAAGAAGCATTGGATTCCACATCTTTTTTATATTTTGATCAAGATTAATTATATTTCTGAAAGATACACTCTCATTAAATAGAAGCATTAAACACTAGTGTGACTTTAGATAGAGGTAGACTTAGTCGGTAGTTCTGAACTGAACTAAAATTAATTTCTGTCATTGAGTCATGTGGCAGATGTAAAAATCACATTATAAATATTTCTTGCCAGTATTAAGTGAGGAAAAAGTAACTAAGATGGAATTCTTAATGCCGCCTTCTGAATTTTGCAGTAACATTTTTACCTGAAGTACACCCTGCTAATTTTTCAAAAGATATTTACACTGCCTTATAATTGTACTCCTGAGTATCTGACCTCACAAAATTTTTAGCATTTTTATTTAGCAATTTTTAGCATAGATGCTGTTGTTATATTAAACCTATGTGATCACCTATATGTGATCACCTAACACACAAGATTAGAACTGAGTGAATCTTACTAGGCTGAGATTTTTTTTCTTCTCTTGCCTTTTTCCCGTCATCTTTTTCACATCCTCTGTGGGAGAGGTATCAACCACTGCTGTGTTACTGTCACCACTCTCTGCTGCTCCTTGTCACCTGTGCTGGATCTGTGTGGTGGGAAGTAGCTGCCCCTACACATAACAGAGCATGGAATGGTGACAGACTGCAAACTAAGAGAAAGTATGGTGGGTTTAAAAGCTTACTGTCAGTGTTTTCAAGGAGCTACTTAATACTTCAATGATTTCAAGTACACCAAAAAAAGCCCCTCACCTTTGTAACTTGGAGAAAACAGCAGTGCTCCTGTCTGGTGTATGGAGTTGTCTTCTATTTCTAAGGAAAGGTCACAGTCATTATAACTATGTGGAGTTAAAGGTGAAAAAAAATTTGTTGGGTTTGGTTTTGGTTTTTTTGTTACTTGTGCATTTCTACTTCAGGCTATGTTCTGCGTGTTCTGACTGCCTGCTGGAGCTGCCTATCTTAAGGAATGGTCAGATAATCTCTCAAAGTAATTTAAAATGTTCACACTGTCCAGCTGCTCTTGTCCCTTTCCCTGGGATGAAACAGTTGATTGTATGGTTGGAGTGTGTCATATGGAGAATTAAACACAATTTGCAAAGCTATGAATCATTATTTTTACCCTATGTACATAAGCCTTGCTTCCACAATTAGGACAAACTGTGACAGTCTCTCAGCTGTTGGTCTATAATGCTTAACTGCTGTAACAGGCTCATTGGATCTCCTGTGGTGATGGTGCAAGTTCTTGTTCTTCCATAACCGAATAGGTAGCAGACAGAGAGCGCAGGTAATTTTCTCCTCCATCCTGCCTGTGGAGGACTGGATAGATCTGGAAGGACAACAACCAGTTGCACAGCTCTTGCTGACAGCAGGGACTTGGTTTTTACAACTGGGGGTACCTTTTCAGGATTGAACACTACTAGGAAGAGATATACCTCACCACGTGGGGCAAAGTCTTCTTTCCCAGAAGGCTATCCAACCTGATGAGGAGAGCATTAAACTAAACATAAATGGGGGAGAGAGGTGATGGTGACCCACAAAAGTGATTCCTCAAGTGAGGAATCAGAATAGTTTGATTTGGAGGGGA